GCGCCTGTAGTCCCAGCTACTCGGAGGCTGAGGCAGGAGAATGGCGTGAACCTGGGAGGCGGAGCTTGCAGTGAGCCGAGATGGCGCCACTGCACTCCAGCCTGGGTGACACAGCGCGAGACTCCGTCTCAAAAAAAAAAAAACACTTTCCCCTACAAAACTGAGTTCATATACTGATTCGTTGGAAACAACAAAGCCCCACAATAACTGGCTTAAACACGGTAGAAGTAATTTTTTGCTTTCTCACATAAAGTCCAAATCGCGGCTCACTGCAGCCTTGACTTTCTGGGCTCAGCCTCAAGAACAGCTGGAACACAGGCATGTGCCACCATGCCCAGCTAATACTTAAAAGTTTTTCTGTGGAGACGGGATCTCACATGTTGCCCAGGCTGGTCTCAAACTCCTGGGCTCAAGGAATTCTCTTGCCTCAGCCATCCAAAGTGCTAGGATTACAGATGTGAGCCACTGTGCCCAGCCTGTAAGTATTTTCCAAGGTTCCCAGTGATTCTGATGTGCAGCCTAGGCTGACAGAGGAGAGAAAACTAGCCACTGGAGGAAGGAACTGTGTCTGACTCATCTCTATACACTCTGTGCTTGGCACAAAGAGAGCACTCCACGAATGTTTGTGAAGGAACAGATAGGTAAAGTCCAAGAGCATAGGGATTTCCCATGCAAGACGCAGGACACACACCTGAAAGGGGTGACTTACCTCGATGGCATAGCAGAAGTCGGCGCCTGCTGTGACGGCCATCATTGACAAGAGTCCCGTGCCAGTGCCAATGTCGAGAACCAAGGCCTTCTGTCCTCTGTCCTTCACCCTGCTCACGGCAGCCCGGATACCTTGGTAGTATTTTATATTCTAAGGAAGACATGGCCGTCACTTACTGCCAGTTATTGTAAGTAAGTGGAAAGGTGCTTTGCAAAGTTCTAGAGTCACAGCTGGCAGCGGCCGTGCAAGTCAGGGCCCTGTGGCCTTTCTGGCCCCTGGCGGAACAGCACTGGCTGAGTTGGGCAGGCCTTGTGAGTCAGCCCCTTGCCCTTTAGTAAGCGACTGTCCCTGCTCCTCACTCACTCTTCTATCCTCTACTAAGTGATGCCAGAGCCCTGTAAACCATGTTCTCCTTTTTCCAACTGTTAGGTATAGCCAAGAGGAGGACCAAGAGGGCGACTGGAAGGCAGGAGGACAGAGTAGGCTTGCTCCTTTCTGCATGCTGCTGCTCTCATCAGGGTCCTCTCGGTAGGGGCAGTTAATTGCAGACTCCAGCTTCTCCCAGTGATCCCATAACCAGCTCCTTGGGTCCCTCAGAGCTGCAGCCGTACTTGGACAGTGGTCCACAGGATCTCTCCTTAATGCTTGTGGCTTCTGGAAACCCTAATCTTCCCATTTAGTTTCTCAGTCCTAGGCAAGGTAACTGTTCCCTGCAGTCTCTACTGCTAGGTTACTCAGCGTTCCCATTTGCTTTCTAGCCCTCCCACAGCTGGGTAACCAGCTCCTTGCGTTAAAGTCCCTCTGTCGCATATGTAATGTGGCTTCTATTTTCCTTTACCGACTCTTTTTTTTTTTTTGAGACGGAGTCTTGCTCTGTCGCCCAGGCTAGAGTGCAGTGGTGCGATCTCGGCTCACTGTAACCTCCACCTCCCAGGTTCACGCCATTCTCCTGCCTCAGCCTCCCGAGTAGCTGGGACTACAGGCGTCCGCCACCATGCCCGGCTAATTTTTTGTATTTTTTTTTTAGTAGAGACGGGGTTTCACTGTGTTAGCCAGGATGGTCTCGATCTCCTGACCTCATGATCCGCCCGCCTTGGCCTCCCAAAGTGCTGGGATTACAGGCGTGAGCCACCGCGTCCAGCCCCTTTACCGACTCCTAACTCAGAGAGCTTGACTAAAAAGTATTTTCCCCATCAGAAAATAACTTCTTTGCATCTTGAAGATTTTTAGTTCTGGTCTTTAGTAACGTAAACAGATACATCTTTCATCTATAACAGTCTGACTCAATAGGCACAGTGACCCTTCTGTTGAAAATAGCTAAAGATGATGGAAAAAATATGTGCAAATCTTTTAAATAGACTGATGACCTGCCAAATTAGTAAGAAATATTAAGAGGCTATTAAAATTTAAGGTAATTTGTTAAATAACAGTAGACAGCTAATACAGAACTGGCATCAAAAGGGCGATATTATCTGACCACAATGCAAAACAAGTTAGAAATCTTAGTATCAGAAACACAACTAAAGAAAAAAAAAATTTTCGAACATTAAGAAACACACTTCTAAGATAGGCAAAAGACTAAATCAGAGAGGAATTAGAAAATATCTAGAACTGAATATTCTTTAGAATTACCAGGCATGGTGCGGTGACTCACAACTGTAATCCCAGCACTTTGGGAGGCTGAGGCAGGTGGATCACCTGAGGTCAGGAGTTGGAGACCAGCCTAGCCAACATGGTGAAACCCCGTCTCTACTAAAGATACAAAAAATTAGCCAGGTGTGGTGGCACACGCCTGTAAGCCCAGCTACTCGGGAGGCTGAGGCAGGAGAATCACTTGAACTCGGGAGGTGGAGGTTGCAGTGAGCTGAGATCGCACCACTGCACTCCAGCCTGGCAACAGAGGGAGACTCATTCTTATTT